TCCCTGAATCCCTTGGTCCCTGGGTGGATCCCTCAATCCCTGTGTTGCTCCCTGAATCCCTCGATCCCTGGGTGGAGCCCTCAGTGCCTTTATCCCTGGGTGGATCCCTTGATCCCTGAGTGGATCCATGAATCCCTTGGTCCCTGGGTGGATCCATCAATGCCTTGATCCCTGGGTGGATCCCTGAATCCCTTGGTCCCTGGGTGGATCCATGAATCCCTTGGTCCCTGGGTGGATCCCTGGGTGGATCCATGAATCCCTCGATCCCTGGGTGGATCCCTTGATCCCTGGGTGGATCCCTCAATCCCTTGATCCCTATGTTGATCCCTGAATCCCTTGATCCCTGGGTGGATCCCTCAATCCCTTGATCCCTGGGTGGATCCCTGAATCCCTTGATCCCTGGGTGGATCCCTCAATCCCTTGATCCCTGGGTGGATCCCTGAATCCCTTGATCCCTGGGTGGATCCCTGAATCCCTCGATCCCTGGGTGGATCCTTGAATCCCTCGATCCCTGGGTGGATCCCTGAATCCCTCGATCCCTGGGCGGGTCCCTGAATCCCTCGATCCCTGGGTGGGTCCCTGAATCCCTGGATCCCTGGGTGGATCCCTGAGTCCCTCGATCCCTGGGTGGATCCCGGAATCCCTTGATCCCTGGGTGGATCCCCGGATCCCTTGATCCCTGGGTGGCTCCCTCAGTCCCTTGATCCCTGGGTGGATCCCTCGGTCCCTTTATCCCTGTGTTGATCCCTCAATCCCTGAGTGGATCCCTCAATCCCTCGATCCCTAGGTGGAGCCCTCAGTCCCTTTATCCCTGGGTGGATCCCTTGATCCCTGAGTGGATCCCTCAATCCCTTGATCCCTGGGTGGATCCCTCAATCCCTTGATACCTGGGTGGATCCCTGAGTCCCTCGATCCCTGGGCGGGTCCCTGAATCCCTCGATCTCTGGGTGGATCCCAGAATACATTGATCCCTGAGTGGATCCCTCGATCCCTGAGTGGATCCCTCGATCTCTGGGTGGATCCCTCAATGTCTTGATCCCTGAATCCGTGGATCCCTTGATCCCTGGGTGGATCCCTGAATCCCTCGATCCCTGGGGTGGATCCCTCAATCCCTTGATCCCTGTGTTGATCCCTGAATCTCTTGATCCCTGGGTGGATCCCTGAGTCCCTCGATCCCTGGGCGGTCCCTGGATCCCTGGATCCCTGGGTGGATCCCTGAGTCCCTCGATCCCTGGGTGGATCCCTGAATCCCTCGATCCCTGGGCGGGTCCCTGAATCCCTCGATCCCTGGGCGGTCCCTGAATCCCTGGATCCCGGCTGTCTGCAGAGGCTGCAGGAGCGGGAGCAGGCGGTGCCGGAGCGGGTGGATCTGAACCTGCGGGTGCCTCTGGAGAAGGAGATCCCGGTGACGGTGGGGCCGGAGGAGAAGGAGGAGGATTCCAAGGGCCCCGAGGGAGAGGAGGAGTTCCCGGAGATCACCGAGGTTGGTGACACCCCCCCAGGGATTTAGGGACAGCACCCAGTTTGGATCCCCCTGGGATCGGTTGGGTGTGGGTGGAAAAGCAGGAATTCTCCTCGCCAAAGTTCCACGTTCGGTTCCTTTTCCCCGGCCTGGTTTGGATCCTCCTGGGATCAGTTGGGTTGAGCCCAGGAGCCATTCCCTGCCTTATTCCAAGTTCCATATTTAATTCCTATTCTGGTTTGGATTTTCCTTGGACAAGCTGGGTGGGAACCCAGGAGCCATTCCCTGCCTTGTTCCATGTTCAGTTGCTTTTCCCCAGCCTGGTTTGGATCCTCCTGGGATCAGTTGGGTTGAGCCCAGGAGCCATTCCCTGCCTTATTCCAAGTTCCATATTTAATTCCTATTCTGGTTTGGATTTTCCTTGGACAAGCTGGGTGGGAGCCCAGGAGCCATTCCCTGCCTTGTTCCATGTTCAGTTCCTTTTCCCCAGCCTGGTTTGGATCCTCCTGGGATCAGTTGGGTTGAGCCCAGGAATTCCCTGCCTTGTTCCGTGTTCAGTTGCTTTTCCCCAGCCTGGT